ATACTAGAAATACGTATCAGGTATAGATATCAGATTGTAACATGTCGCATTATCTTTAGGAATAAATCTACCGGAGGGTCAAAGTACAAGCCACTCATCAGTGCTCGTTCAATGTTTTACAATAAACGAATATACGGAGGCTGAACATTTTTAAATTACTAATGCGTTATTGAATCAGTGCCTTATTGAAAAGAATAACAATTATTATTTTTTGTAATTTCAAATCATTTATCTTCTTCTTTGCAGGATACATCGAAAAATTCACAATGAAGAAAACGTCGAACAAAAAAATTAAACCCATGACAGCAGAAAAAAAATACAGTGGACCTAAAACCAGCTTGATGATATCGAAAAAATACTCCTTGGAAAAGATACAGAATGAAAGAATAATTGATTTTTGTTCATGAAAATCGAGCCGTTTCCAAAACACTGCTCATTAGGAAGAAAGACGTGTCAAGAAGGCATGAAATTAAAACTTCAGAATTATCAATTAAAGAATCAAATATTCATGTAATAAAGCCTCATGAAGCAAAACTGATGTTTCTTTTTTTTATTATTATTGTTATTGTTTTGTTTCCCTGATAACGAAACAAAACAATGGAGCTTGACTTGAGGGTGAATTTCAGCTGTTTCCTCTAGCCGCAAACTCGAGGAGACAGCTGGAATAATGCAACCTACCTTCACTCAGGACATTTGCCAAACCCACCGGTAGATAACTATCGTAACCAGGGGCGTAGCCAGGATTTTTCAAAGGGGGGGTCACAGAGGCTACTCACCAGATTGTCATGTCGACCTCCGCGCCGTGCATGTTTTACTTAATGTTACAGTTTTGGGATGCCTTTAGGTAATGATAGAAGAGAAGGATTGTTACCTCGAACTACTGCACCAAACGATTCAACTACCTCCTTTAGATCAGAGACAGACCATATTCATGGGTCTGCGCTGTATAAGTAAGTATTCATCTTGCTTACCTGCCGCTCCATCCAAAAAATGGTATAATTGCCCATTTTTAACGGATTTTTACCCTAAAAAGGTCACCTAGAATTTTCGGAAGCCTTTTTTCTGACTGAAATTTTTGAAAAGGTAAGTTTTGATCCGTATAATTTTCAGATCGCTTAAGACTTTCAGCTAGGAAATCCGAACAGATGAAAAACTTTTAGGGGATAAAAATATGCCTATATCTACCGCTTAAATACTAAAATAAGTTCAACAATGCTATGTTTAATTGCCTTTGAACTATATTCTCGTTGGGTGCTCCTGCTTATAAGACTCCAGCTATCGTGGTAGAACAAATGCTAGACACAAAATAAGTTCATTGCTTTTAATTTTTTTTAATTTTTTTTAAAATGTAAATCGCCAGTGACGCAGATAAAGATTGAGTTTAAGAAGCTAATTGGAATGTTTACTCTAAGCAAAAGAATTGTTACCTGTGGCGGTCTAAAACGTTCTAAGGAGATAAGGAGAATGAGCCGAATTTGGTACTAAGGAAAAAAACACTGATAGATAATTTTCTTTTTGTAGATTGAGGTTCTGCTTCCTGAATTTTATTAGTTGCTCTAAACCAAACGAGCCGCTTTCCTATGTTTCGTATCACAGGCAGTTTACACACCAATAACAAATGCTGACAATAAGAGAAACCTCTGACATAATAAGGGATATCAAGAGACTATCAAGGGGACAGAGAGGGCATCCCCCATATACACCCTATTCCAAAGGTAATTCGTCTCGAGTTATTTTTAAGGNCGCGTGGATGACCCACGCTGAGAGCCACGCGTCCTTCACGAAATGACGCAGAACAAAATGGGGGAAGACGCGGAGAGCGATTTTGCTATTCCTTTTGTCGACGAAAACGACCACAGCGAGATTTCTGCGAAAGTTGTGTCAGCGAAACCGAAATTAAAAAAGAATCTTCCTTCCTCTCTTGTATAGAGCAAACAGTAGAGCAGGGAAATCCTTAACACACTGAATATTCTCTCAGGATCATTTATAATTTACAGTTTGAAGAGAGCAATTTCTGGTTTGATGTTTATTTTTTTCAGTCTTTATAGCGATTATTCCTACCCACTTACTTTGTCAATTGTAGGCGAACCCTCCTAAAGCTGAATTTCAAGGGACCGTATTCAAGCTCAGAAAGAGAAATATAATTTCGTCGTTGCTGATTTACGTCCTCCATAAAACGCGAAATTAGGCATTTTCACGTCGTAGTGGTGCAAAAACGGGAAAGAAATGAATAAAAAAGTGTGTTACACGTGCGAAGTTGTTGTTTTGCTAATTAAACCTATTGTTTTTTTTGACGTTCTAGTTGTCGTCCGCGTCGTTGGATCTTAAACTCCCTAAATTGTACAAACGACCGGTTTCAATAGACCGGCGAAATTTCTCATTTTATTAAAGCACTGAGGCTACCACAACTTCGAGTTAAACTGATTTCACGGGTTGTCAAAGAGTCCAGCGATTCCTTTTACCCAGGTGAGCGCCGACTCATTTCCCTTCAATATTCAGGAATGCTCTCGATCTTTTTACGCTTTCATTGCCTCTCGCCCGACATGTTTTGCACGGAGTTTGGTCATGCGAAACCTCCACGAAACATCACCGCCTCGCGCGAGGTAACTTTATCCCGATTCTAAAAATAACTCGAGACGAATTACCTATGAAATAGGGTGTATATGGGGGATGCCCTCTCTGTCCCCTTTATAGTCTCTTGAGGATATGAAATACAGTAGAACCCCGATAACTCGAACTCGGGTTACTCGAACCCCTCTTAAACTCAAACTAAATTTCCTTTTCCATGATTAAAATTAAAGGCACTGAAATTTACCCCGATAACTCGAATTTTGGTTCTTCTAACTCCACTCCTGACCAATGCCAAAAACACTAGTCAACACTAAAGCAACAGGGGCGGATCCAGGATTTTTTTTAGGAGGGGGTGCACTCGTCTCTTGCTCTACTTCAACACCAATAAACCACACAGTTTTTTTTTCTTTTTTTTTTTGCAGAATACCAGTTGCATAATAAATCCGTAGGTCTTCTCACAGGGGGTGGGGGCGCACCTCCTGCACCCTCCCCCTAGATCCGCCCCTGAGCAATTTGGTTTATTTTATCTGGTGAAACGAACAAATCACGTTTTATCATAAAGATTGAAATGCCTTATCACCTTACAGTTTCTGATGAAATAAGGTAAGTTTGCACTGCACCATGCACTGGAATGCTAAAAAATCAGTAACTATCAGTTTTTAACTTGGAAAATTGAACCGCCGCTAACTCGAACTGTTTTTAGTTTCCGTTAAGAGTTCGAGTAACCGGGGTTATACTGTATAAATAACTATTAAGAGATCCGTTTTAGGCCACGAAATTAGAAAAAAAAAAACAACGATATTTATGCGTTTTACTGTCTTAGGGTGTCTTTCCACTGTCGCGTTATTTTCGAGTGCGTAGGTGCGCAAAATTTACGTTCGCAAATAAAAGAGAGGCAATGTATGAAGATCGCGCGAGGTAAGAGTTGAACCTCGCTCAACTTCACGAGGCTTCATATCTTATCTCTATTTTATTTTTCCGAGCAAACGTTACCGTATCAAACTTTGCCCATCGCTCAGGTTGCATTTTTGGAAGACAATAGTACCTTTGTTTCTCACATGCTTTTGTGTTTGGATTAGCGGTGTTAGACCTTAATCGCCGTAAGATCAGTAAATGTTCGGTGTGACATTTTTTCACTTAGTAGTATTCTAGTGAGGCAAAAATTTGAAAGCGGGAAAAAAAACGACAAAAACAGCCACGGCTGTTTGACCAGAGAGATCGTGCATTGAATAAAGCTTTATCTATTGATGAGTGTACCTGCGAACTTCAAATTTTGTTTGCGCCGAATCTGTCTAGTAGTTAATATGGTCAGAGATATCGAAAAAACGCTTACTGAAAGGCATCTCATGGTTATGTTCGAGACTTTGTCTGCTTTGTTCCTCGACTACCATACACTTCGACAAACACCTCCATAAACCACAGCGTGTACACGCACGTAAAAATAACGCGACAGAGAAAATCCACCCTTACACGTTATTACTGTCTTGGACATGGAAGGGGAAATAAAAGCTAAAACTACAAGCCCCACATATGCTGCCTTTGTAATTTTCGACTGAACTTGTAATACAAAAGACCTCGGTAAAAACTAGAATAAAATGTTGTAATGTGATTTTTACGCTGACCATCTTCTAATCATGCGCCAACCTGAGTAGTAAAATCTATTTGGTTATGTAATATCATGAGTCAAGCGACTTTTGGCCATTTCCTGGTTCTAAAAACTTTCACTTTCAATACGAGGCTAAGTACGAAGTCTTTCTTGTGAAAATGAGTTATATTTTCATGAAAATAAAATTTACAAAAATCCTTTTTATGTCAATTGCTTTGCACTCAGCGTCGCTTTGAGGCAACTCAGAAATAGCCTGCTGTTACCGATCCCATTTACAATGGCTGAGTAGCGTTGTCAAAACTAGTTTCATTCTATATGTATACAACTTGGACCGTTGTAAATTCTAAATTCGTTGTAATTCAAACCTATTCGAGTCCACCAATAACGAGAAATGACTGGAATGCTGGCCTGAATTTGGTATGCGTTGCTTCAGTTTTAATTCATTAAAATCTACTTCCCTTAACCTCCCCTTTTTCTTTATAAACTTGAAACTGAAGAAAACGACATTATATGGATTTGGTTTTAAAATTTATCGGCTATGAAACTTTTATACGATTTAAATGTTTTGAAATCCTTCTCTTCTGGTTTTTCTTATCGCTTTAACACTTTTTTATTGTTGTAACACTTGTGTTCAAAGCACCAGGCTTCTATCTTTAAGCTAACACGCTTGAGCAGTTTGTTGCTTACAAAAGCGTTGAACATTCTTCGCATTTTTCATTAGATTGTTCATTACTGTTCAGTTGCGATTAGTTTATTTAGTTAGAAAGACGAGTAGAAAATGAATCGTTTAAGAGTTTTCGTCATTTACAGTGTAATAGGTTTAACTCTCATCCACAACGGGCTTCCATTAGACATGCACAGGGCGAAAAGAACGTTCTTAAAGGATTCTCTGGAACTAGATAAGCTACAACGTGCGGTCGAAATAAGTCCTTTTGAGATATGGTTGTTCAAAGAGAAATTCAAGTCCATGCAAGATATTTTGCTAACATCAGAGCTTCTGGATGAAGAAGTTATCGAAAGAAAAGGAACAATAGATCGACTTCAAGATGCAATGAAGAGAGCGTTGCTAGGTCAAGATACTGTTGTTGTCGTTATGGGTGGCTCAATTTCAGCGGGGGGTGGATTAATCAATGATAACCCAGATGTTAGAGGTACCTACTACCGAGTATTTATCGATTGGTGGGAAAAAACCGTGGAACCATTTACAAACTCAAAGATAAGGCTACGCAATCTCGCTATTGGTGGTACCTGTAGCGATTTTTACTTCTACTGCTTCAATACTTTTTTACAGCCTCAAGAAACTATGGACATTGTGTTTCTTGAGTTTTCAGTAAACGATTATTTGATTTTCAAAACATCGCAATTTCCAAAAGTGCTTTCACTTGAGAAACTTACAAGGAAGGTGCTAAGAGAACAAAACTTACCAGCGATTATATATGTCAATTTTATTCAGGGCGTCAAGAGCACTGCACAGTGCGACAATCTTGAAAACTCTGGGCAGACCATGCTCGCGTGGCACTATGGGATTACGAGCGTAAGCTCTCGCAATGCATTATGTCCAAACGCTGAAAAACGAAAGAACCCGCTTATGTATTCATCAGATGGCAACCATCCAAGCCTTATCGCTCATGCACAAATGGCTTTAATGATAATCAATAGCGTCCGCAGTGCATTATTGAGAGCCATACGTAACGCGAAATGGAATATTCTCGAAAACCATTCCTCAGAAGAGCTTCCCAGACACGTCTTCTATTCTATGGAGCCATATATACCTCCTCTTTGCTATACTCTTATAACACCAGACAGATTTCACAAGGTTGTAAATCCTTCGCTGTTGATCCAAGTGACTGAAAATAAGGGATTTAAACAATTTGAAATTAAAGGTATTGGTTTTTTTAAAACACCTCAGGTGAAACACACTCAAGAACCTCAAAGAACAGACGGATTTGGAGGCTGGCAAGCAGAGAATGAAAATTCTACTTTGAAAATACGATTGGTTTTACCCTGTGATGTAGGAAATTCAAATTGCACTAAGTCTGTGGTCATAGCGTTTCGTACTCACGGTTTCGGAGGGAAAGCTGAGGTGTGGTTAGATGATAACAGGCCAGGAACTGTGATAGATACAATGTCGGGTTATGGACACACACGTCTCGCAACCATTGCTGAACACGTGACCTCGGGAATTCACATGCTACACTTGAGAACAATGAATGCGGGAAAATTTATGTTGTGTGGTGTGATGGCTGGTGAGAGTTCTGTACCAACTCATAAGTAGAAATAAACTAAGAAAAACTGAAACAGAGCCAGGCAGCATCACAGAAAAGCACCGTTTAGTACTTGGAATTAAGAAGTGGTACAGGGGTTCAGGGTGTTATATTGAGTTATGGTTGCACACCGGAGATTTCTGAGCACGAAATTATTAAAATTATTTTAATACAATTATTTTTGTAATTGTATTTAGTTAAGCACGTTTCTCAAGCCAGCATCCCCCTTTTTTCCCGCCATAATTATGTAACTATAGCTTTTCATTTTGAGAAATATTGACTGACCCTCGTTCCTGACTCTATTCCTATAAGCAGGGTATAAAAAATTTCCGTCCAGTCAGTAACCTCTCTTACATTTCTAAATTGTCAGATGGGGTTGGGGCTGAGCAGTTTATGGAGCATCTGACAGCCAACAATTTACATTCTCTGCTTCAATCGGCGTATAAACAGCAACACAGCACGGAGACGGCCTTACGTAAAGTTAGGAATGATATTTTGATGTCTATGAACAAGTAACATGTCACCTTGCTCGTATTATTAGAATCAAGTGAAGCTTTTGACACGATACATCATGATAAGCTGATTGGTCGTCTTTAGTCTGATTTGGGAATAACTGACAATGCGCTTGCCTGGTTTAAATCGTATCTATCTGACCGGTTCCAGCGTGTCTCTGTAAATGGTAGTCTCGCCGATCAATTTTCTTTAAAACAAGGTGTTCCTCAAGGTTCATGTTTGGGCCCCTTGCTTTTCACTATCTACATGCGCAAACTGTTTTAGATCGTTGAACACCACCTCCCACAAGTCCACTGCTTTGAGGACGATACACAGTTGTATGTATCATTCAGCCCTAATTGATCTGCGGATGCTGATTTTGCCATCAAGTCCATGACTGACTGTATCAGTGACATTAGGAGTTGGATGATTTCAGATAATCTTATGTCAAACGATTATAAAACAGAATTTTTAATTATAGGTACTAGGCAGCAGCTGGCAACGGTTAACATCAATTGCATCAGGGTTGGGTCGACTGATGTTTGTCCTGCAACAGCAGCTAGCAAGCTCATGGTTTGATGAGAAGCTCACTACATCAACTCATATTAGCAAGTTATGTGGTGTTACCTCATTTGTATTTGCGTTCAGCATTTTACCGGTAACTCGGCTCGGAAGACATGTACCATCCCGGTACATTAATAAAATTTGAAAATTATCGTCTGACCTACACGTTTGAACGCGTTGAAATTGGAACAATCCGTAAAAAAAATATTTTATCGCAAACATGACCAACCTTAACTCCCATAACTGATTTCTTACGGTCGCAAACCAAAGTAAAATTCGGACAAAATACCTTAAACTAGGGAGCTGCCTTGCTATTTTGGCCGCCACCTTTAGAATTTGACACTTTTTCTTCACATTTATTCCTTTCATGGTTTTACAAGAAATGACTAAAAAGGTACACTCTTAGATGCATTCCTCAAATCTCTACCGGGAAATCCGTCCTCGATTCAGGAAGTGTTTGGCGTCCTTCTCCTCTAACAGCATATCACTTGTTAAAAAAGCAGCAGAGGCAAGAAGTACCTTTTTATGTTTCACTGCTCCTTTCTGGCATGGTTCGTCGTCATTACTGGTCGGAGAATTGGTTACATATTTATCACTGATAGTAATTTAGTTGACTTTAAGTCCCCCCTACCCCCACCCAGGCGCAAGTCATCACATGGCTTAGTTGGTGTTTGACTTGATTCACCTGAGCCAGCAGCAAGGAAGTAGGTTGTAACCAAAGTGGCCAGCAAAGTCAACTGGATCAAACGTATCTCCGACATTGAAAATGTGCAATTAGTTTTCTTCTGCCACAATTGCTGTGCTGCCGTCTCAATCATGCACTTTCCTTGCTCCACGAATCTGCCCCAATTTATAGCCACAAACTTACAATCACTATGACCTCGTTACCGAGGCATCCTCCTGGTATTGCTTTGTCATAGTGTTTTTTTCGTTGGGTCTATTGTATCGGTATTGCATCTCACCACCGATTGACGTAGGATCAGAGATAATGGAAAACATGATAAGAAAATCAACCGATCCTTAAATTATATCTTATTGCCTGCGGCCCCAAGCAAACTTTAATTCTAAAAAAAATTGAGTGTTTTCAGTTGGTTCTTTAGTATCGATATTGCTTCCCAACGCCGACTGACGTAACAGTGATATTGAAAGAGTAACCAAATTGTACTTGCTGCAGCAGTTATCAGCCCTGCCCCCATCCCCATCACGAAAATGAGTCTGGAAGTGATGAGAAGACCACAGGTAGAATGCAAATACATTATGATCGATATTTTCTTTTTTTTCACTCAAACCGAAGAACAAGGCGCACTGAAGGCCTCTATGAGGTGCTTTGACCAGCTCAAGAATAACTAGGAAGCCGCATGCTGACATCACACGAGACTAGAATTCTTTCATCAGCAAAGCGAAGCACATTACCATTGAGGTCTTGCGGCACTTGTCTATGAGCGAATTCCTTTGTAAGATTCTAACGACTTCACTTATAGTGAAGTTTGTACGTGTCTCTCTTTTTTCAGTGCATATTGGTTGTTTGCCAGTTGTAATAAAATTACAGTTACAAATTTATTAAAACATCGGGATTTTGTTTAAAGTCTAATTAAGCCACTCGATCTCTTTTAGTCTTCCCTACGGAAATCTCTGGAGGAAACGGGATTTCTTGTGAGGTATTACAAAAATACCAAACGGAAAATTAGTGTTTCGCTTCCTACAACATAACCATTATCCTCTTTGTTTACGGGGGCTGTTTATTAATAAACTGATCATGATTTGTGCAAATGCCAAGGGCCATACCCGGGGTTAAAAAAAATCTAATCATAGTACTAAAAAAGCCTTTTTCTCATGGAAATTCATCAGAGACAGCTTTTTGCAAAGTTTCTCTACATGGATTCAGAGTCAATTTCAAGACCTTACAGCTTTACACTGGGGACGATTTCGAGTTCAGTTCCATCAATAGTTATTTAAAAGGCCATCTCTCGATAAATCTTTGAGGGGATACGCTTGCCAGCGATGAGTACAGCCTTGGTTTTACCCTCATTAATTAGTAGTTTCTTGGAAGCAGGTAGAGTTTAGGGTATCCTCTAGCCTAGGGGTGCTCGTCGTCTCGCTAAGGGGTGTAAATTTCGGATTTTGGTCTCACTTAGGGTGTTCTAGGCAAAACACCATTATATTTAGCCATAAAAGTCTCTTTTAGGGTTGCACTCAAAGAAATATGAAGAATTTATATATTTTCAATTCGTGTTATTTACTCGATTCATGTAATCAAAGTTTAAAATGATCGCTTTTAGGGGTCTACTTTAGGGGTTTAATTCAAAATTTCCCACGAGCATCCCCAACCCTTTCATATGCGGAGGCCCCCCCCCCCCCGGGAGGAAGGAAACGTTTTATCTCCAAACAGCCTGTGATGAAGTAACCTGGAAATGAATGTGAGTCGTTGATGAAGGCAATAAAAAGAAAAGGACCAAGTGTGGACCCCTTGGGAATGCCAAGAAAAAAACAAGTAACGATTGAGAAAAGACAATTTGATAATAACAACGCAAAAACCTCCAAATAAAGGCCGGACTTGGAAAATCCGGAGCTTTCTTACGCTAACA